CTGTGGAGTCGCGGGCGTCTCGGGTGGCCGGCTGGACGCTGGGTCCCTCTGCCTGTCCACGCGCTCCGCCCCGGCCTCCCATGAGCAGATGCAGCGCTCCCGCTCTGCCTCCAGGCTCCCTTAATTTGGTGCGCGATTGTCCTGACTTGGATGTCACCGGGGTAGCATCCTGCCTCACGGACTTTCAGCTACCTTTTAGCATCGTTAACAGAAACCATCATCCCTACCTACCCTAAAATGTGACATTTGATTCGGGGACAAAATATCACCTGTTTCGCTGTAGACCCAAGTTCTCTGGCTCTGCTCGCCCTCCAAAGCTCACGTGAATGCACACGCGGTGGAGAGCCTGTACTGCACCCCCAGAGGCAGATCACGAAGTAATTATAGAACAAGCTTTCTATCCTGGCACACAGTCACACCTCCTCCAGGCCAGGAGCTGTGAAATGGTAGGAAGAGTCACCCCAGCTGCGGTGAGCAGAGATCTGAAAGGTCCCATGCTCAGTCCCTGGGCTTGATGCCAAGGGCGATGGAGGCTCTGCGCTCAAAGTCAAGCTCCCTAGAGACCAAATTCCTCCGCTGAGCAACCTTCTGTCCCTGGCACCGACTGCAGCATAGTCAGCACCCGCTCAGGCTGTCTGGTCCACCTACCTCATCTCTACCTCCCAGCCGCTTCCTCCTCAGAAGTCCCAGAGGCTATTACCCAAAAGCATATGGAAACAAATAGTGACTTTGTGTACCCCCTCACTTAAGGATGAAATGGAAAAGTAAAAAAAACCTTCATCTATGCGCACCAGGCGTCTGGTGACCTTGTCCCACCTTGAACTTCATTGAGCAGGTAGTTGGCAGAATTTACCACCTAGACCCAACTCAGACTCAGTGATGAACCACCTTGCCCATCATGAACTTAAGAGTTGGCAGGAATTCAAGGGGACATAGTCTCAAACTGACTTGGTAGCAAGACTTTTAGGATGGGCAACATGATGAGCAAGACACACGACGTTAGCAATCTCCATGAAACACGACAGCGTTAGAATGTAGAGTCGTGTGAGGTCAACCATTTGAGTCAGAGAGAAAGAGCATTTCCAATATGCATCATGGCTTTCTGTGTGTTTTATATCGAACCAGTATTTTATAAAATCAAACTTAGCAAAACTATAATTACAGGTAACAATGTACTTTTTAAACCCTTTCCCTAAAAAAAACAAAACAAAACAAAAAAACAAACCACAAAACCCTGCAATTCTGTCGTGTTTACATGGTAAAATGATTATGTAGTCTACAGTATTTGTTTAACTGGGTTTCACTCACACACACGCACTCAGGCACACACACACAGAGCTGTGGCAAAAGTTGTCAAAGAGAATTTTGCTTTGAATCATTTTAATTTCTGGGGCTTGATTTTCATTTCCATGAAGCTATACTAAACCTGTGATTTTTCTGTCTGCATTATAAAGGCTGAATTTGGTTTCTTTATTTTAAGTCTAACTGATCTGGCTGTGCCTTTAAAGTACACAGAACATAAAGAAAAGAGCAGAAGATGGAGAAAAGACAGAAGTGCTATTCAAATTGCAAACATTTGCCCCACAGCCCTCTCCACCCCACCCACCTCAGAAGAGGACACAGAGTTGTCTCTTCTTAGAGATTCAGGTAATTAGTAGAGAAGAAAAGATGTGGGGCAGGGGAGGTGATAGGGAGAGGACTTGTTTTGTTCCTTGCTGTAAGAAAGGGACTTTGCATACAATCCTGTGAGGCGGGTACTGTCATTTCTTAAAGTGTAGCAATTTACTGTGGCTCTGCCAACCACCACAAACCTTAGTGGCTCACGGTCCTCTGGGATGACAAGGCTCAGCTGGGTGGCTCTTGCACAGGGTCTCTCCTGCTTTTGCAATAAGATCGCAACTGGGACTGTGTCATTTGAAGGTTTGACTGAGCTGGACATTTAAGGTGGTTTCCTGACTTAGACAGCTATCTTTCTGCTGAAGACCTGGGGCCACAGGGACGAGCACAGGATCCCTCACAGCCTGGTGACCAAGCTCATTAGAATTAAGTCTATGTCAGGGAGTGGAAGCAGTCAATCTCTTAAGGCCTGTGCAGGGAAACTGGCCCAGTGTTACATCTACTATGTTCTGTTGGTCAAACGGTCATGGAGTTCAATCAAATAAAAGGGAAAGGGGGAGGAATATGGATTCCATCCTTAGCTGGGAATAGTTTCAAAGAATTTATGGCCATCTTTATTCACCACACTTTCATTTTAAAATGAAAGACAAGGCTTCAGGTAATCAAAACAAAACAAAGCAAAAAATTCTTCTAAGGTCACATATCCTATAAAGAACAGAGCCAAAAATCTGACAAGATTAGTAATATGTAAAATAACTACAATATTCACACTGAGATTGTATCCTCTGGTACAATACTATAGGGTACTGTTCTCTCTCTCCACCCCCACCAAAGGGATTTAGGAAAGAAAGAAAGAAACATTTTGCTGTTTTGATTTTGCCTCTGCATCTGGAGTTTCTATCGCCGCCTTTGATCTTTAGAGCTGATCTTTGATGTGAAAGTTTCCAGAGATAATTCAGTGTCTCAAAGCCCTTAGCATACCAGAATATAAATGCATAAATATTTGTTAAACATCTGAGCCATGAGTATACCAGGCATTGTGCTGGGTCTTGGGTCTACACTGATAAATAAGGAAAACACATCCTGTGTCATCTCTGCAGTTACATTTAGCATGAGAACCACAGAAACAACTGAACAATTTTGGTACAGTGTGAGAAGATGCTCTGACAGGAAGAGTCAGAGTTATGGGAACACATAGTAGAGCTAAAAGCCTATATCGCGGCAGTCAAGGAAGAATGTGTAAAATTTAGAATGACTGAGGAATTGCAAGGTGATGTGCTGGATGCATATATGTGCATGAATGTGCAAGGATGCTGCAGGGCCAGAGGAGGTGGGGAGGAAGGGCTGGGGTGAGCCAGTAAGCAGAGGATGCTGCATTTCCCAGCAGAAATAGGTGCTCAGTAAATACTTGTGGACTGTGAAATGAAAGAATAAATGAATTGAGAGAACTTATATTAAGAAACAGGATAGTTCTTGATGGGCAAGCAGAGAGAAAAGCCCTGGTGTGTGAGGGGAGCATATACATTAATGAAATAAACCCAAGAAGCTGATATGCTCCTCCCTTATTCCATGGGAACACACCCTGTGGGAGCAAAATGTGCGGTTCCTTTGCCAGTATCACCAGTGTTGCTCCCAAATTGGCCATCTGAGTATCCTGCCCTTTGGCAAAAACCAGATTTTTATTGTTTTGAGACTTGTGTCACCTCTACTTGTTGGATCAAGCAGATAGATACCTCTGGCTATTTTAAGCAGGATACAATTTATTTATTTATTTTTCTTTTTTATTGAGGTTATTGGTACAATCTAGGTATACAAATACAGTTACATTCATCATTGTGATTCTGTACCTTTACATAATAGGTCTTGATTCTCATTTTTCCCCTTGTCCCTGCCCTCCCTTCACCCCCTCCTCCCCTCCCCATTTACAAACACTTTATTTCCATTTTTTCAGTTTCTCATATTTTTTTCCTCTCCCTTATTACCTTTCCCCCACCCTTCCCACTTTCC